CACCATCCTATAATCAACCTAATTTTTGGCACGACATCCATGCATTCAAGCATTACACCTCATGGACTAAGAAATCCCTAAACACTAAAACCAAGGTGAACCAAAACCCGTGGTCAACCTAAACACCATCCTATAATCAACCTAAACACTAAATCTGTGGTCAACTCAAACCCTTGGTCAACCTAAATACCAACCGGTGGTCACCTAAATACCATCCTGTGGTTAACATAAACACAAAACCCTGTCCGAAGAGATTTGCTCGACTAAACAATAACCAAAGGCTTAAATGTCGACCTGAGCATTCCAAAAAGCCATAAACACTAACCTAAGTACCTAAACTGGAGGCAACGTCCCGACCTAAAGCCTCAAACACCAACCTGAGCACTGCTAAATTATCAAAAACCTCAAAACCGAGCATCATCAACCATCAAAGCCTTAAATGCCGACCTGTGCATACCAAAAATCCTAGACCGAGCACCCTCAATCACCAAAAGCCTTAAATCAAACCTAAGTACTGCAAACTAAGGGCATCCTGCCCAAACTACCAAAAGCCTCAACCAAGCACCAGAAGCTTTAGATTGGACCTAAGCACTACAAACTGAGGGGATCCTGCCCAAATTACCATCATAGCCTCAAACACTAACCAAACTACTAAGGAACTTCAAACACCGACCTCAGTATCAAAAATAACTAAACTTGATATTGCATGCTTTAAACCTGGCCAAAGCAAAACACTAATCCTTCCTTTTGTCTGTTTCTTTCAGAGAACAAGTATGGCTTCCACACCGGCTCCAATTTGAGAGAGATGATGAATGAAATGCTTTGGGAATAAGAGAACCGCTTTCGGGCTATGCTTAATGAACAATAGAACCACCTCCAGAATACTATAACTGCTCAGAGGGAGACTATACCTGGGGAAGTTAGGACTTTGATGAATGCCAGCCAGAATGGCCCCACACCTCCTAACCAAGTTGGAGATCTAATGAACAAAACTCTCAGCAGCATTTTATCCCACCTATTGGCAACTAGATTGCCAATGGGCCAACTCTTGAGGGTGTTGCTACCTCTAATATCACCGTGCCTCCAAACCAAACTGAAGAGGAACATGCCTCACTTGAGGTTAAAAAGATGATGGACTAGACAATAACAAGAAGAGGACTTGGGATGAAATTTCCAATGCCTTCAACCAATAATACCACTATAATATTGAAGTGGATATTTGAAGGTGAGCCCTTGAGACCTCCAAGCAAGGTGACAAAGAATCTATCTCCTCGTTCCTCACAAGGTGGAGAGGTAAAGCCTCACAAATGCTCAACAGGCCGACAGAGCAAGAGCAAATTTACATCATTGCCAAGAACCTCTTTCCCTCCTACCAGAATTTATTAAGGACCCAATATTTACTAAATTTTTGGGCCTTAATTGCTACTATTAGTAAGATTGAAGACCTTATCTAGTCACGCCAAATCAAGGATGACCAAGCTTCTAGATCTAAGTATAGAAAGCCCCAACTAAGTTACCATGCAGTTTCTCTTGCCAATCAAAAAGGCAATGAAGTGGCTAATCTGATCAGCCACCAACAAGTTCCACCCTATCCTCCCAGACCGATTGCTAGAACTGACAGGCATGCCTTTACTAAATTGGGAGTTCCTTTGTCCTTCATCTACCAGAAAGTTATGGAAGACAAACTCATTCAGCCTCTTCAGCCAAGACCACCACCAAACCCAGTTCCCAAGAACTATAATGTGAATGCTTACTATGCCTTCCATCAAAAGGCAAGTCACAAGATAGATGACTGTAAAACTCTAAGGCATCAGATACGGGATCTTGTGGAGAGTGGACACATCCTACCATTTCGACCTCGACCAAACATAAACACCAACCCTCTACCACATCACCAAACAAACATCCACATGATCCACCAGGAAACAGACACTGACCTAGTTTCCCTCATTCAACCCATTCATGGTGACACATGCTATGTCATTGACTTAAATGATGTATTGGAGGAAATTAACGTCATTACTAGGAGTGGAAGACAGTATCCCTCTCCTCCTTCTGAAGCTCTATCTAACCCAGCTGCCTTGGCCAAAGATGTTCTGAGTTCCACTATGACAAGAAAATGTGAAACTTTCAAAATTTATATAAGGTTATGCATGCTTAAAATGTAATTATGCCTCTGGGTGTGTAATTACTGCTTTAGTTGAATTAAATGAGTAAGAATGATTATTTGATTAATTTCACATTCATGCTATGCTTTTTCCTATGATAAAATTTTCATGTTAAAACTTATGCCTTATGGCTTTGATGAGTTTTAAGTTAAGATTTCTTTATATAAGTATGTATAGATTATGAAAGTAAAGTTTTATGAGAGATTATATAACATGAAGAAAGAAAGTAAGATTTTGGGCTCTTACATTATTTGGTGTAAATTTAATGTGTGATTGAGATTTATTATGTTTTTGCGCATGCTCTGCATATTAATGCAACTCTGATTATATGGATATAGATATGATCATGTGCTTGGCATGTGGGTGCCCTCTGTATAAACGAACACATTCTATCTACTTCCGTAGGCTTTTAAGCTCTCTATTTTTGTTTGGCTATTTATAGCCCTCTGCTTCTAATTGGCTTTTATAGCCCTTTTTGTTCTGCTAATCTCATCTGCTTCTTATTCTGAGCTTCACAAGTTAAAAAGGAAAGAAAAATGACTTAAAAGATATTATTAAATAATATATGTTTTTTTAAGTCTATATCTTTTATTTATAACTTATATATTTGGATTCATGTTATTTAAGTGTTTTATGCTTTATAAATTAATATCATGTGCTTTTAGTCTATAAAGGTACAAATATGCTTTTAAATGATGATATATGAGAATGTATGATTACATATTAAGTGTTTAATTATGCATGTTTAGTATCTTAAATGATTATATGACTATGAGTATGGATGCATGAATATGCAAATGATTATATGTTGTCATCGCAACATTGGATGTTTGAGATTTATGAGGATTACTAAGTTTTATACTCAGCTCATCGATATTTATTACACGCAGTTGTAGACCAAGGATACTGGTAATAGATCAAGATCAGCATCAAAGCAGAAGAACCCATTTTGGTAGTTTTAGTTATGTCGAATTATATATTTGGATTATGGCATGTATACCTAAATGATATTTGGAGTATGTATTTTATTTGGAGCTTATGTATGAGGATATGTTTTAAAAGTTTGTGTGAGATTTAGAATTCAAGGAGCTATCTATGCTTAAGTTATAGAATTGAAATTTAAGTTATTTATGCATAAATGTTTATGAGAAATATGTGAGTATTGATGATTACGATGTTGAATTTATATTGAAGTTGAATGATCGAGATTGATATTGGAGTTTGATGGATAGTTGTTGAGGATTGTGAAATAGAAGTGCTTTTGCTTCACAAGATTTTAGCTAAATTTAGTTTTTAGGAGAAACTTTTACACTTTTTCCGCAGAATTTTCCAAATTATTTTTCTAGGTAAAAATATCGGATTTGTTAGACTTGTGATATTTATAAAACAACTAGTTCATATCTGTAGGTATAAGCTTAATATGTATACTAGATTGGTGCTACAGATATAAGTTTAATATGTATACTAGATTGGTGCCTCCGACAACAAATATGTCATCGATCATCTAATCCTCCGAGAATAGGCGAAAAATGTTACAGTGAGGACATAGATGAAAATTTTGAAATAGATGTGCAATATATGCCAGTGGCAAGTTGTAAATATTAGTGTAAACTCCATCAATGGATCATTTTATTCTTATTGACAAACTAATAAAAATATTTAAAAAAAACCTTAAAAATTGCACCTAAATTTCTCGTTCAATAATTAAGCACTGTGTTTCACTTATTGCATATACATCTAATAAAAAAAAAGTGCAAAAATTATATTCAATAAATATAATTTTATAGATTTAAATGTTCAATTGATGAAATTTAATTAATAAAAGACTTTAATGCACTAAACTAAAAAGTAGATGTTCAATAGATGAAATTTAATTAATAAAAGAGTTTAATGCACTAAACTAAAAAGTAGAGAATGCCTCTAGAACTTTTCTTATTCATGTGTCCATTATGTACTAAGCCAAAATAAAAATTTAATATCCTTTATTGGTAAGAAACAGAGGAGATATATAAACATGTACCGTAAATCATATTAAGAAAAAAATACTGAAATCTAACAAAATCATTTTCAGAAAAGAAACAATATAAAATGACATGCATGTATAAATGGAAGGAAACAGATGTTGAAAAGGTCAACAATCAGATTTTCCACCGTTTAATCAATTAAAATGAAGGACAGCTGCTTATGTTACTGACGCAGTTAAACTGATTAGCAAGAGAAAAGACAGCCACTGAGATATACATCCAAACTTGACTTTTACCCTAATCTATTTTTGGGTGGAGAAAGGTTAAAGGAATTGCGTCAAGTCGTGGCGCCAAAAGAACTTGTAACTTGCTCAGATCCACCAACCAACTTAACTCAAACACAGTTTTCCTTTTCAAGTCTTGGTGCCAAAAGAACTTGTAACTCGCTCAAAGCCACAACCAACTTAATTCAAACACAGTTTTCCTTTTCAAGTCTTGGTGCCAAAAGAACTTGTAACTCGCTCAAAGCCACAACCAACTTAATTCAAACACAGTTTTCCCAAGTCTTGGTGCCAAAAGAACTTGTAACTCGCTCAAAGCCACAACCAACTTAATTCAAACACAGTTTTCCTTTTCAAGTCTTGGTGCCAAAAGAACTTGTAACTTGCTCAAAGCCACATCCAACTTAATTCAAACACAGTTTTCCTTTTTGATAATAATATGATTCCGCTGGCACCCATTTATTTAACTTAACACGGTGATGAGAAATAATCAGAATAAATTATTGATTAAGACGTCATAAGACCAAAGAAGATGGGACAAGAAAAACAATTTATCCATATCGAGAAAGAGAGGGAGACAGAGGAAGTAGTGTAACCACAACAAATCTGAAAGACAAAATTATGTCATAAACAAATCAGTTGACTGAAAAGTTCTTTTTAATAATGGGAAAAGGTCGTCACATTGACAAAAAAATACAAAACCCAATAGGCAAAAATTTGTATTGCAAAAAATTACCATATTCATCCATGACAACAAAAAAATCAGCCGAAAGGAGGTCTCCAATCATTCATCATCCGAATAGTTGAACTTAACAGAATGAGAATGCAAATCAATCTGTCCTCCTCTGTATGTCCCCCGCTTCTTCTTTGTCTTTTCATGCCTAAAATCCCTGGGGAAGATTGAAAGATAGTGCAGAAAATGACAAATAAAAAATATCAGTGCATATAATAATAGTTGAAAATGATCATATGCTTTCTTAATACTGATTAGTACCTGATGCTTGACCACATACTTTTATATGCATAACATGCCAGAGATATTATAGCCAATGATTTCTTGAGTCAAACACAGAAGAGAACAGGGAACTTTCCATCATGCAGAGGTTGTGATATGCTGAAGGTATAATCTGATCTTAATCTCATTTTAATGCACCTTGTTTTTCAATATAGTATCAGCATAAGCTACTGTTTTGACAGTATTAGTTGCATCTCATAGTTCCAAACAAATTGATACACATACACATAAGAAGGGCAAGGAACAACCACGATCTTGCATGATATTTGACTCCTACAATATCTAATATTAGAACTAAATATGACTGATGCGTAAAATGGGGGATGGGCTGGAGAAATTGTTTTATGATAAAATTTCACACTTTTGCTAGAATACCCAAAATAAAAACCAATAGCAAAAACGTTGAACACAAGAAAAACAGAATAAGCACTAAAACAGCTGAACAGCACTGAATTTACAAATTAGATCCCTAATTACAGCTAGAGGTGAACATTATTCAGTTCAAACCAGAATACCTGAGAAATAACACATTGGTTATTTTGGAATGTTTCAGTTTAAATTTTGGGGCCTTCCAATTTATTCAGTTCAATTCAATCCCAATTTTGCCTTTATATCAGGAAACCCCTACTCTTTTTCCTTTTCTCAGAAATAGAACTCAGTTTCTTACTTCATTACCCTGTTTCTCTACTCTTACAATTGCTTGAAAATATGCTATCAAGAACTACTGTCCCTATGCTGGTAGAAGTTCAGATGCAAATAAGCATATAAGAAAATGAGGAGAAAAGGATTTGACTCATGGTTACCACCTCAAGTTTTTGCCCACTTAGGATAAGGTTACACCAGGCTTCTTTTGGCACATTTTGTTTCCATCATCAAAGTGGACATCTAGATCACAAGGTCACAAGCTAGTTTATTGAAGTGAATCCAGGTTATTAAATATCACTTTCACAGCGGATGTTAGTTATTAAGACTGTCAGTTATTGACTAATCAAGCGCTTTAAAAAAAAAAAAAATTAAAAAAAAAAAAAAATCAAAGCGGGCTTTTAAAAAAAAAAAAAAAAAAAAAAAATAAAAAAAAAAAAAAAAGAAGCCCAATACTAAAATAAGGATCAAACTGAAAGTTCATTGGGTTTATTCTCCAGTCTGAATTCAGTTCAATTATATATTACAGGAAATTTATATTTTTTAGCTATCGGTGAATTTTCAACCAAACCTACCAGCCAATGCACAATTCTAGGCCCAGCCAATCAAACTCAATAGAGTTGAATCCAACAAAAAGATAAAATAAGATACTAATTTCATAGAGCATACACCTTCAGACATGGAAAATTGTTGCATGATAACCATTTGAAAATCAAACCTTATAATCAGCCAGAGTTATAGATAATAAAATATTGAAGAACTTTATAATGCACAAAAATAAGGGGTAAATTCCAATCTAATAAGATAGTAAAATTAGGAATCAGAATTTAGAAAAAAAAAAAAAAAAAAAAAAAAAAAAAAAAAAAAAAAAAAAAAAAAAAAAAAGGGTAAGAAACTGGGTCATTAAAGCATCCAAGGAAAGAGAAGCTTCTGGAATTTCTGGCAGCAGAAGAGAAAAGAAGGATGGAAGAGAATTTAAAAAGTTCACAGGAGATAAAAGCAAAAATACAAGCTTCACATATTGACCAAAAAAAAAAAAAAAAAAAAAAAAAAAAAAAAAAAAAGGGTAAGAACTGGGTCATAAAAGCATCCAAGAAAGAAGAAGCTTCTGGAATTTCTGGCAGCAGAAGGGAGAAAAAGAAGATGGAAGAGAATTAAAAAGTTCACAGGAGATAAGCAAAATACAAGCTTCACATATGACCTTCCAACCAAATGAAAAAGCTCAGAAATCCAAATCCAGAAGCCTAAGCAAAAGAACTATATAAACAGAGTTTTTCTAGAGATTCCATTTTTCCTATTAAGATTCGTGATCTCACATGGAAAAAAAATACTTAATAAACAGTTAATACAAAGTGAGAAAATTCCGATAGGAAAATTTTCTGACAAAAAAATAAATTGTTAAACAATACCAAAACCCTGTCTTCCTAAATTTCAAAGAAAACAAACTAGGAGTCCACAGGATACTTCTACCAAAAAAAAAAAAAGTCATCAGAAAAATCTATTTTATTTAAAATTAAAACCTACGAATTAAAACAAAATAACTCCTTTTTTATGGACTACATGATTACAGGTTCCTTGAAAAGAGCAGTTTGACATGATATAATAACTGCATAATTTGCCACATCATCCTAGGATGACTTTAACCACCATGCCAAAAAATTTCAAGTGGACCTTTATATAACTAATTTGATTCCTTTTCTGATTCTCATGGGCAATGAGGTTATATCAAAACAGCATAAACATCTAGATTTTATTCTCTGTGCCTGCATCTCAAGGTATCATGAAAAACAAAAGCCTTTACTACAAAATGTACCTTCCTCTAACTTGCCCAAGAACTTCTTGGGCCTTTGCACCATAACCACTCTCAGCACCATCCTGCAAAGAGAACTTAAAAACTTGAAGGAAATGATATAAACATAGAAAACTCAGATGAAGAGAACTTAAAAAATAGGTATGAAACAAACCTTTGCCCAATATGAATTATCTTTAAGCCTTCCATCAGAGAAAACCACTTCATCCACTTTTACTCTCTGAAAATACTTAACTGTCTTTGGCTGTAATGACATAATTCCAGTTGTAAGTGGACTCATAGAATCAATGATACTCATGAACAGAATTACAAATGCTACCAACACAACAGGAAAACATATTCATGAAAAGGAATTATAGATAGGAGATAGAAAGAGCAAAGGGTGTGCATAAATCCTCCTTAATTAAGCTGTCCTATAAAATCATGAACAGGATACAATCATGCAAAACTTGATGAACTTATTTCCCACAAGCCCCTAGAAGAGCTATCCAAATTCAACTACACTGAAACAAAATTTTGGTAGATCCCAGTACATAATTCTCATGCCATAGCAAGTTTGCATGTACGTTAGACACCTAAACAAAATATTGTATAAATTTCATTCATTAATCATCAATGTGAGCATGTCAAAATTTATGCATACAAGAAGTATAAGATCTAGATATGTTAAGCATCTAATATCAACTTTGAATTGTTAGTGTATTAATCTTGTAAATGTCCAGTTACAGATAGGTGAAGTTTGTAAGCCTTCCTATTAAAATTCCAGTACAATAATTCTCATGTCATAGCAAGTTTGCGTGTACATTAGACACCTAAAAAAAATATTGTATAAATTTCATTCATTAATCATCAATGTGAGCATGTCAAAATTTATGCATACAAGAAGTATAAGAACTGGATATGTTAAGCATCTAATATCAACTTTGTATTGTTAGTGTATTAATCTTGTAAATGTCCAGTTACAGATAGGTGAAGTTTGTATGCCTTCTTATTAAAATTTCTTTTAACTACTAAAGCAAGAATTTGCAGTTTGATATCACCCAGGAAATCACTGAGAAACCAATATTAATTCTCCAGCAACACCTTTGGGGCTTCAACTGCCTCCAAAGTGCTCATGTGCATATTTGTGTCATACAAGAATTCTTATCTCTATTTCCCTATCTCATCCTCACAAGATGTCATTTTCCCATTCACATCCACATATAGTAATCAATGTACATAAGGCCAATGCAAGAAGTAGTCCAATTTTCAAAGATCAATTGGTGGATATATTAGTCAAAATGATTTATAGCTTCTATGATCATAAAAATCAGAACAACAAAAGTAAAAGGAAAAACTCAAAAGTGATCTCTATAAAGAGATCCTAGGCTCTAGATACAACATCTCTTTCTCTGAGCAAACTAGGAAAAGGAAAAGTATTAGATTGTATAATGACAAATGTAAAACTAATACTTGTCTAGACAAAACATCTATTAGCAAGCCCTACAATCGAGGAATCAAATTCCTTTTCATCCTCGAATTGCATACTTTTATAAAAAAATTCAAGGAGATTGCTGGGTAAATAAAATTCATCCTCTTTCTCTATGCTGCTCATTTAAAAAGAAAAAAGAAAACAGATGCAGCAAAGGGAATCATTTACAACACATGGTCCTTATTTCTAAATCTTAACTACTGATGCATGAAAAGATAGGTGGACCACTGGAGGTAATATTCAATGTTCAAGGAACCTGGTAAGATCATAATCAGAGAATAAGCTATATATGCAGGGTCAATTTGGTATTTAGAGAGCTTCGTTTCAGAACTTATTTGTGATAAAGTAATAGAATCAAAGTAGAGTCTTGGCTCAAGTGTTAAAACCCATACCTCAGCCGAACCATTCTGTTGCCTTTTTATGGTTTTCTGCGAGGCTGATTTCTCCCCATTTTCCTCAAGGATCCCATTTGACTGCCCATTAATCTGTTTAGATGATCTTTTTTGGGACTCAACAAAACCAACTTGGCTGCTTTCTTCTTTCTGACCTTTTTCTTCAGTTCTGCTGGCAGAATTTAACTCTGTAGATTGCTCACTTATCTTTGGTTCCTTGGAACCTTCAGTCTTTCTTCGTTTAGATTCTTCTGTCCTTCTATGTTTGGATTCTTCAAGTTGCTTTGCATCAGCAGCTTGAACAGCATCTTCTTCAGAAGCCATTCTTTTTCTTTTTTTGGAACCTTTACTCTCTTTGTCAGTTAAATGCTCCTTTGGAGTCCTTAAATCATCTTTTGTAGAATCAATATTATTTGTTTTTTCTTTATCATCAACATGATCGGAAGACAGCTTGTCTTTCTTCCTTTTCTTATCCTTTGATTTATTATCTGTCACAGAGTCAGTTACTTTTTTGCCCTCTACAAACACTACGTTCTTAGTGTTTTCTTCAGTTGTTCCACACAGTGATTCTGATGGATTATGTATATTGTTATTGGTAAGAGATTCAACATTTAAGTTGCATTTCTTCTTTTTGTCCTTCCATTTTGCAACATCAGCAGGGTCATGCAAAGCCTTTGTGCTGACTTGTTCTTCTTGTTCAAGAGAACTTGAATTTTTTTTGCCTTTCCTTTTGTCTTTAGATTTTACACCTATAGGTACTGAATCTTGCATCATGACCTCATCATCATTATTAGAACCAATAGGTTTACCACTAGTACTCTTATCACTGTTCTTTTTCTTTCTGTCATCCTCTCCACCTCTTCCAGAAATGATGTCAGCTTCTAATTATGCAGTTCAATAGAATCAGGATATGGAATAGCTTTAGAAAATTCATCATACAAATTAAGTTTACTATGAGAGAACATTGGGAAAAAGACAGGCAAAAAAAAAAAAAAGGGAAATCCACGATTAAACACACCTTGCACCTTCTCGCTCTTGAAGTTTTTGCTGACTTGATTACTGCGAAATACAGAAAATCATCCACCATGAGAATGTATAAGTAAAATTTTAACTTAATGCTAACTCAATATGTAGAGGAAACAAAAAGATTTGAAATTTAGGAAATTTGTTAACACTAGACATTTATAAAGTATTTAAAACCGAGACAAAAACTGTAGGAATTCTGTCCAATGATGTCCAAAAGAAGAATATCATCTTCAAGGACCTTGCCAACTGCAAACAAAGCAAAGCCATACCAAAACATCTAAAACATGAGACTCCTATTTGGGTCATAGAAAACATTTTCTCCGAAAACATTTTATTGCTGAAAATGTTAACAGTGACAAAGAAAACTTGTAAGGAAACCACAAACACACGCATCCATTAATCAGATGCCAACACCATCTCTCACAGTCATAATGTTCCATTTGTTGCACAAGTATTTATCAAATTTCACAATAAAAAAAAATAATAAATAAATAAATAAAAAGCTTTTTACACTCTGTTTGGATGGGTGAGGGAAGGGTAAGGAGAGTAATAATAAAATAATATCTATGTTTGGAGAGGAGTGGAAGGAGTGAACTAATTGAAAGGTAAAGAGAGATAATGCATATTCTTTGTGTTTGGGAAGAGGGGAAAAGAGGGGTAAATAATTAAAAGTAGTACAAAATGCTTAGTTAGTACAAAAAAACTTAGTTACCTCCTCTCATCGCTTACATGCCAATTTGGGTTGTAGCAAAATTTGAGATTTGCCCTTGTTCAACCTCATTCTTCCCTTATATACCCCTCATTCACCTCCAACCAAACAGATTGTTAGAGGTTCAAACAATTTCATTCTTACATCTTGAAAGACGTGTATTGAAACCAACAACAAACGATAAGATAATTTCTAAATACTTCTGACAAACAAGTTTTTTATCACAAAACAAAACAGACCCTTAATCAAATACAATATATTCCAAATTACAAGCTCAATGGACAATATGCAAAAAAGAAATTTGTTGACTTCATACCCCATTTCCAAAAACTTGCAGAACATCTCTTCCAAATCAAATGAGGAATTCTCCAAATCATCTTTCTGCATAGACAGAAAATGGATTAAGCCAAAAGAAAATTTTATAACAAGCCAAACAAACTAAGAGAGAAAAAGCGTGAGACCTCGAGTTTGGCTTCTGAACGAAACTTCTTAAGAGTTTTGGAAAAGCCACTGCATTCAAGATACTTGGCTATGGAGTGAAAGAGAAGAGCTTTCTGCTCGGGCTTCAGAATTAGGGTTTTGTTGTTGTTAGTGCCGTCGTTTTGCTTCATGCTTGGACGCTTACAGAGTAAAACGACTTGGCGAGGCCTAAATGCTAAAAGGCTAGGGTTTAAGTTTACTGTCCCTGCGATCTGGGCTTTTGGCATATAAAAATTAATAACTATTTATACATAAACGAGATAGGAAGACACACACAGACAGAGGGACACGGACGAGATCTTTCACCGCCGAAGCAACAAATAAAACCCTCCTAGCTAAACTCCCAGGGTTTTGCAAAGATTTTCTGTGTGTTTCCCCCCAATCTTATATAAAGGAAAGGAATAAGGTCAATTTCGTCCTCTACTTCGACACAATACTTGCTCAAAATAAACTTTGTTTTATAAAATCTATCTCGTGCACTACAGCAAAAAAAATGAAAACCTAGTTTTAAGAAAAGTTCAACTTTTATCAAAATAAAATTTTTGATTTAAATTAAATATAATTAAAAAATAATTAAACAAAAAATAAGAAAATTTTTCAAACTAAATATTGAATATGATCAATATTTTTAATTTTGTAATTTTTGAATAAAATATTTTCCTTAGTTACAGTTTAATTTTTTTGTAATTGTTGTATTTGTTTTAAATAATTTTTTATTTTTCGAAGTTTAAACTTTTTAAAAAATTTTATTAATTAAAAATTATTTTTATTTGAAAAATGGAGAAACAAATTGAGCCCTTTTTTCTAAATGAAATTACTACTTTATCTCTATAATATGTCAAAATTAATCATCGTGTTCTTACTTTTTAAAAAATACAATACTTTTATCTTTAATGTTTGCCTTCATTAACAAAATAGTCATTCTACTCACTTTTTTATATTTTTCCATTAAATGTCTTTGGAAAATACAAAAATAATCTTATCTTTACACAAAACATTTAATGACAAAAAGTCGTAAAATGAATTAAATGACTGGGGGTGTATTTGTTTAAAATTCTATTAGATTTTAAAAAAATTTAAAATTCCAATGATATTCAATTTGGATTTTTTGAAGTCTATTAAAATTTTATGGTATTCAATTCAGACTCTTATAAAATCTATAAAAAAATCTAATGGTATTCAATTATAACTTTTTAAAAGTCCATAGAAATTTAATGTTATTTAAAAAATTACTGATTTATGATGATTTTATAAAATTATTGACTTCATTGGATTTTAGAGTGTTAAGTATGAATAAAAAGTCATTCACAAACTCATCATCCAATCTAGAGATCTCAAAAATCTTTCAAAATTTAATAGAGTCTTACTCCAATACACCTCTCAATAAGGATGGAAGCAGGGCGTGTTCCGCAAAGTTTAAACTACTTGTATGAGTATCCATTTAAAATTTTACTACTCGTATCTGTTCTACACCCATTTAACTACTCATTTAAGTACCCTTATTCGAACCCGTTTTGTCATAGCCCTACCCTTGGTAAGTATTGTCCGCTTTGGCAAAGTCCCCGGATGTCCCTACACCTCACGGTTTTGTCCCTTTGAGCCAGGGGTCACCCTTAACTACTCATTTAAAGGCTACCCTTATTCGAACCCGTTGTCCATAGCCCTACCCTTTGGTAATATTTCCGCTTTGCAAAAGTCCCCCGGATGTCCCTTAACCTCACGGTTTTTGTCCCCTTTGAGCCAGGCTGTCACCCCACATCTTTGCCAACTCAAAAAGGCGCCTACCAAGCGTTAGAGACTACCCCTCTTATGTATAGATCGTTTACCTCGTCCGTAGCCGATGTGGGATTCGCCTAAGTGATGCCTCCTAATGCCAGGGATGTCACATTCAACCCCGCTTAAGCGGACTCAGCGTCCTCGCTTGAGGTTTGCACCCCACCACCAGCCAGAAGGAACGAGCCGGCTCTGATACCAATTGTCATGCCGTACCCTTGGTAAGTATTGTTCCGCTTTGGATGTCTCCGAATGGTTCCACGGATGTCCCCTACACCTCACGGTTTTGTCCCCTTGAGCCAGGGGTTCACCCACTCTGCCAACTCCAAAAGGCGCCTACCGAAGGTTAGAGACTACCCCTCTATGTATATACCCCTCTTATGTATAGATCGTTTACCTCGTCCGTAGCCGATGTGGGATTCGCCTAAGGTGATGCCCCCTGATGTCCAGGATGTCACACGTTTAATTTTTTTACTACTCGTATATGTCCAAAACCCATTTAAAATACCTCTTAAATGGATAGGGTACCTACGAATCTTAAACTATCTAAATTCGAACTTATTTAAAATACATTTTTTACTAATAATGGTTATGGTACCCATGGTTACTCACTAGTGAACCTGTTTAATATAGCAGTTAAAGAGTAACGGATATCTAAATATCTATACCCATACTCTATCCATATTCATCAAGGATAGTAATTTTACTACACATATCCATTACAAGTAATAATTTCACTATCTATATCCGTTACAAACCAATTTATAACTATCCATATTCTCTTTAAATTGATCAAGGCGGAATGGATAACCTAAAATACCCGTATCACTTCCATTCATATAGTGTAAAGCAATATATTAATTATTGGATTAGTTTCGAATTGATTAATTCATGTGATGAGAATTTGATATTTTGACAAAAATTAATATTGATGCTGCTGCAAATTTTTCAGAATTAATTTGATTTTTTTTTTTTTGAAATTTTTATGGGTGGATTTCAATTAAATAATGATTTAATAAAATAAAAAAATTGAAAAAGCTTTGAAAGGTGGATTTCAATTAAATAATGATTTAATAAAATAAAAAAATTGAAAAAGCTTTGAAACAGTTGAAGAATTGAAGAATACAGTCTGCCATTGTTGCGGTCGCACTGCCAGGCTCCGTGAGCCACAAGAGATGTGTGCAGCCTCCTTGCGCGAACTCCGGCAACTGCGCAAGTCTTGACTAGCTATGGTTGCTAGTTTTTTAGTTTTAAATTAATTAATTTATTTATTTAAATCTGAGATTTTTTGACGAGATGGTTGTCGTTTAATCAAGAGATAAGAAGCATGTGGTCTTACAACCACATCGCGACTGTTCTGGGAGCACATGATGATGCCAGTGACACTGGTTATTGTAAGTCTTTCACTGTCGGCAGCAATAAGGTTTTAATGAAAAAAAAAACGATTTTGGAGAAGATAACGCATTTTACTTTTTAGTCTCTCATTATTTTTTAATTTTTCAATTGGTTTAATTTGTTCAATTAAGTCCTAAAATTAATTTTGGTTGGATATATAAAAGTTATTGTAATTTCATCAAAGTCAATCAAAATCTATAAAAAAAAGTCTCACAAATTTCATAAACTTCAGTGTAGAATTCGAATGAAATATATGAAAATCTTAGGAAATCCTTCAATTCTGTCAAATTCAACAATACTTTTAAAATCTAACACAATCCTAATCCAATGCACCTCCTTAAATAGTTTTTTGAACCCAACACTAGGGTAAAAGTAGTGTATTTTAAAAGAGCGGGATGACGTAATAATTTTGACATAATATAGAATATATTAGAAATTTTTTAATATAATCTAAAAAATCGACCAGATATCAAATCATTTTGATACTTGGAGTTGGACTGAAGTTCGATTGAATCAACTTTTTTATTTTTTATTTTTTAAAATTAATAATAAAATTAAAATAATCATAAACAATTTTGTAATAGCTAGTATGTAAGGATATACATTGCACGTTAGGACTCCTGGTAGTCACTTATTATATTTATCATATTTATTTTTTAAATTAAGTAATAGTACAATTACATCTTTATTTAACATTTGACTGTAGTAGGATAAAGTGATAATCTATATTTATATATAGATAATAAAGTGATAATAGATTTAGAATTATTCATAATATTTTTAATTGAATTAAAATATTATAAAGTGATAATATTAATTGAGTTATTTATGAAGTGATAATATAATAGGTTTTTTAATCGAATTAAAATATATTATAATTAGAATTATTTATAATATTATTAATTATAAAAATCAATGAAATATATTATCAAATATAAATATAAACTCAAATTATAATGACTATTTTTTTTATAACGTGTGTTGCATATTGTTATTGCTTGTTTTATTTTCGTTGTTTATTTTATATAATATTAAGTATTAATTATTTTTATTTTTTTAAATTTTTATAATATTAAAATATGATTTCATATGAGATTAACGTGAATATAATGCTAATTAATAAAAAGAATATTACATCAAAATTAAAATATGCTAAAGTTTTTTTAAGTAACTAGAACCTGCGTGATGTGCCAATATTAAAGCATGAAATAATATTTTATAACATCATCCACAAATAACAAAATTGTATACTAAAATGACGATGAAATGCATTGCAAAATTGTATCTCATTGAGATTTGCTAAAAAAGTTGGAATGCTCAGATGTGCCTTCTTAAGTATCCTACAAAGCGTTTCACTAAGATATATAATAGCAAAAGTTATGCATAATATGACTTGCATCAAACAATAATACTTAAGACCTAAGATGTTAATACAAACAAATATTAGAGAATTAATGTCTTACTATTAAAAAAAAAAAAAAGATCAATGAAATTACGGGGCTAATAGGCAACATTTGTGTTAACATAGCTGATGACTGTAGAACATTGGGCGATATAGTCTATGATAGATTTTATAATTATAATAAATTATTACAGTAAAATAACCTACATTGTGTTGGAAAAAAGCTTTAAAATATGGCATGAACCATAACGAGCCAAACTTGGTTACTTTCCTGTAAAATCTAGTAATAACTGATAGAAAATATATATACAATAATTTCCTACATAATGATTAACCCTTCGGCAAAAATAACGGCTCATGGAAAACTTAGCAGTTATAGCTAGGGATGACAATTTTACCTGACTCGATGGGTACCTGATCTGATCCGATCCGATTTTAACAGATTCAAATAATGAATAAACGAGTTTGGAATGAGTTCGGATAATATTTTTATTACACGTATTGAGTTCAAGGACTCAGTTACCCACTATCTGTTTAATAAATATTCAAAAAATATTTAACATAGTTATTTTAAAGAAAACTAATTTTTATATAACATATTTTTTAATTATAATTAATGCTATAATTATATTTAATAATTATATTATTTTTTATTAAGTCAAAATAATAATTTTATAATTTTATTTACTTTTTATTTTTAAAAATTAAAAATATTTTTAATGCTATACGGGTTAGGGTATTTAAATGGGTAATTATAGTCGAGTTTAGGATGAGTTCGGGAATTAAAAATGAAATTCTAAACGGGTTCGGCACGGGTTTAGGTAATTAATTCATAATCGGATTTGGGTTTGAGTGGTTCATTTTAAGCGAGTACCGACCCGTTTCCATCCTAGTTGGAGCTACCCATAAACATATGCAAATTCAACAACTTTACAGCATAAATTTATTCCCAAATAATTCTAGCCATCAAATACTATTTGACGTTGATTTTGTAAGTTGATTAGGCATATTGATGTAACAAATCCATTTTCAACTTAAGAAATGCTAATGAAAATAATTAACTATACATTTCGTTGCTGTTATATAAAAAACAATTTCATCCCTATATATCAAAAGTTGTTTGCAAAAGAGATAATCATGCAATACACTGCATACATAATGCCTTTTGGATTCTATTTGGTTATTTGAAATGGACGACTCTACTATAATTTTAGTTTCTTTAATTTTGATGCGGTTAACGGTCGAAATTAATTGGGTTAAAAAACAAAAATTTCGGTTAAAAGTGTAACTCAGATTGACCGAATTGACCGAATTGACCAAATGTTCACCTCTAACTAAAAGAGGAATAGTAATGAAAAAAAAATCAAATACATGTATTATTATTTTTATTTTAAAATGAGTGAAACTAATAAAATATATCTTTAGTGATGTTAGATTGTATATTATATATAAATATAATAACATATACGTTATAACTTCATTCCATGTATTTGATTTTGTTTATTATTATGAGAAGTGAATCTTTATTTTTTATGTTTAGGAGTTGCAAAACAGGTTTTGATGTGAGAGTTGCAAAACTTTCTAACTTTTCAATTTTCATTGATCTCCATATTTGAAATTTAAGCTATTAAATATTGATATTTAATGGCCTACATTTACAACTCATTATCTATAACTGATTTTTTCATTTTATGTGCTAAAGCTGTGATAACTTCTTTGTTGTTGCTTATTATGTATTATTTATGTATAATTGTATATACATTTTTAATCTCTTTTTAATATCCATTTTGAGAAATGAAAAGACACGTTGATATGTACAGTTAATAAAACATTTGCATAAAATTTTATATATTGAGTATGTACAAGTTATAAAACATTTTGCATAAAATTTTAGATATATATATAATAATATATATTTATTTTATTTATTTATTTTTTAATATCCAATACTTAGGAATGAAAAAGACTGCATTGATATGCACGGCCAGAAAATACTTGCATGGAAATTTAACTGTTTTTTCATTTTTCCATTTATACTGGCTTCTAGCACTTCTGTCATTCTATTAATCCAAACACAGCAAAGTGACCAAATTTTTGCTTACTTACATTGCTTCCAATATTGAGGCAACTGCATCTCATTTATATAATTTATATAAGTTAAGTTCCTATATTTAAACAACTTTGTACATATCTAAAAAAAAAAAAAAAAAAAAGAACAAATAGATAAAAAAAAAAAAAAAAAGACAAATAGATTCTATTTCTAGAACCTATAGTATTTTGAATAGTCATTCTTATTCCTAATATCTGTAACTGTCACGACCTGTCTCTATTGCCCGGACCGACACTAAGGCCCAAGTAGCTTAAGGCCACCGAGACCCATAGTAACCTTGAAACATTGTTCATCAATCATCTAATCCAATAGATATAAATCAAGAGGATAAGCCCGATAAGAATATTCAACTGTGCCCAATATACTAATAACAATCCAAATCGTTACAAAGACCATAATTCAAATACAAATATATGTTTATTATTTATTATTTGTTCAATTTCTTGCACCTTTAGTACATGCATTCACAAAGTATAATCATAATCTCATTCATTAGGCTCCAGTCAATTATTCAACTCATATTTTCAACTATAGATTCAACTAATCAAAATAAAGTTTACTCGTAATTACTATGATTATTTCATACATAACACTCCTATAATAACTACGAATATCTACATCCATTGCAAATATTAGAGAACCCTAGCTGAATAGTAATTACTGTTCAATTTAATAATTACTTCAATGATTCTATGGAAGAAGGAAGAACATAGCTTTAGATAAAATGTAGAATAGAGTTCAGTTTCCTGACAAATTTAAAGGGAGCAGGAGTGATATAAAACTCAATGAATAATAACATATAATACCAAACCTAGGCATTCACACGATATGCTCCTAGACTCCTCTAATTAAGCATCCACCATTCATGCAATGTCAATCATAGCACTCACAAACAATAGTAACCATAATGCACACCAAGTGGTCGTTAGTCAGTGGAATCACCTTAATAGGACCATACTCTCCCCAAACATGCTTTTTTTTTTTTTTAACCTCCCCAAACATGCTTTTTTTTTTTCTCCCCAAACATGCTTTTTTTTTTTTTTGGTAACAAAGAGGGTGAGCAAGCTCACAAACTAGCAACAGTCCTCAAATGAGAAACACCACTAAGATCATGAAGGAGCCATGGCAGGAGATCAACAAGAGGTTGCTCAAGCATATGCAGACGTAGAGGAAAACCAAAAGCTAAATTAGCAAGTTTATCAGCGCAGTGGTTTGCTTCTCGGAAAACATGTGAGACCTTGCAATCCTAGTCCCAACCAAGGATCATCCTAGCAGCAAGAACTAAAGCCCGTAAACTACCAGGCACCCAAGGTCCTGTGACTTGTGCACCCAAGGAGCCAACCTCTGTTCAGACGAAATCATAATCGGATAAAAAAATTTTTTCATAAGATATTTTTCTTTATAAAATATTTTCCATGACACGTGTCATAATTCGGAGTGCACAAGGGGGGGGGGTGGTGCCACTCCCACCGCTTACGGCCTACTGACGACATTCTCACCATGATTGTGCTCTCACCCCAGGTGATCCACATCGTCCCAACTCCCATAGAACAATCACATCACATTAAATACAAAGCAATTATTCATAGAATTTACTAATGCACATCAATATAGTATATATATATATATATATATATATATATATATATATATATATATTATATATATATATATAACTTTACTTGAATAAATAAATGAAATGATCTTTCAAAAATGAATATATATAACTTACTTGAAAATAAATAAATGAAATGAATTTAAAAATGAAGTATGTATTCATGAATTTGGTAAAATATTATGTATTATTACTCACTGCCTGTGGTGAGAATACAGCTTCATTGAGATCCTTACTATGGAGGAGTTGAGAAAATACCTATGTAATCTAGAAGAAGTAAGGAAGATAAAGAGAAACCTTGTTAATAACATAATTGATTACCTATTTATTTGTAGAATTCTAATCCCTTTATAGCTATTATTCTAAAAAAAATTCTACCAAAAATTCGACATAGTCTCCCCTTAAAAACTGGACTAAACAACATGTTCAAAATCATAATTCAATAATCAATTTTCAAAGCCCATCCATCAGATGATTCATACCAATTAAATCCCATCCGCCGTATCCAACATTTTATAATTCCAATATTGACATTAATTATATATCTAACTAAATTCACCAATACAATCATATTATCATATAAAGCATATATATAATTTAGTATAAATTCTATAACTAATAACCAACTACTTATCATTAGTTCATAAATCTTACTCAAGGATATATAAACCGGATATTCACAAAACCTCATCAGTATCCATCATAATTAATTCAATCTCATTATATTAGTAGTTATACATAATCATATTCCCCCATTAGCCTTAACTAAGTTATTAATTTCACTACACTAATATATAATTTGATATCAACATAATCATACCCTAAATTTCAGATATCAAGCACTAAAATAATTCTAAGTTAATAATAAATTACCATTCAATGACATAAATATCATAAACCAATCATAATTAGTTTATTCATAAAAAGATTAAATAATTTTATTTATATTAATCCACTCATATAATCCAAGCTTCTATTTAAATATGTCTACCTTAATGACTAACTAATCTAACTATAAAAGACTAAAATATTCAATTATCAACAAATCTAACAAAACATAATTAATTTGCTCGCTAATTGATTATATCTTTTTAAGATGAATTAAACTTTGTTTAGCCAACTTTCTACAACTTTTCAGCTAATTTCTTAATTTGCATCAAATAGCAATTTGAAGGTCAAATGAGTTTGGATCGCAAAACTAATTATATATTCGTAACCTATGCGAGGATAAGATTCTGCCTTTTGGGAACTCTGGTCACCGGAGCCATCACCGGTTGCTGCCATCGTCGCAGCCCATGGTGGTTGGAGGGGCCGGTAGACCATAATTGTGCCATTTTTATCTTATTTTGCTCCAAATTTCATGTAGATCACATTTCTACAATTAATGTTTTCCAACTAAGCTGATTTATATTATTTTCCCATTTTTTTATCAATTTAATACCTAAAATAAAATCTCCCCAATAAATCTCATTATTCTACACTAATCAAGCTCAAAAATTTCCTCTAAAGATGATGTAAAGTAGAGATAAACCAACCTATTTGAAGCTTGCTGTCGGAAATTGTTTGGCTCACCGGAAAACAATACCAAAAATATGCAACTCCACTGTAGGAAGTTACGAAGCTCAACAACGGTGAGTAGAGAGAGAAAATAGAGTGGTAAAGGCTTGAACTATCACCGATGCATCTCCTTTTCCGGCCAAAGTGAACTATCGGTAACAAGGAGAGAGAGAGCATCGTGGAGAAGAAAGAAAGAATGGAAAAGAAAGAAACAAAGAAAGAAAGAAAGAAAGAAAGGAAGTAGGGATGGGTTCACATGGATCTTGGGTAGATTTAGGTTGTTTTTCTCTCTCTTTTTTATTATCTATCTATATAAATATATAATTTCTAGGGCCTAAATAATTATATAGCAATATGTTAAAATATGAAAATGATGACAGTGCATTTAATTTTTTCATTATAAATCTCTTTTCTATTTAAATAAAAATTAAATGTTCTTTATTAATTAATGGAGTTACAATTAAACTAATAAGATTTCATTATAATTTTAAATAAAAATTAAATGTTCTTTATTAATTAATGGAGTTACAATTAAACTAATAAGATTTCATTATAATTAATATATAATAAATATAAAATTTTTATTAAATAGTGTTTATTCTATAAAAAAACTAATGAAGTTATGATGGAGTCATAGTTAATAAAAATTAATTGAATAATATAATTAGATTAACAAATAGAATTAAAATATTAATATCAATTCAGTAAAATTTATTTCATTTAAATTAAATATTCTTATACTTCATTTAATTTGAATATATGAGAATTTCAAAGAAAAAAAATAATTAACTAAATATATCACTTGAATAACAATAATTTGCTTAACTTGAATAAACAAATAACTTTTGCCTTTACAATAATTAATTTTGTGTTTATTTATATTTAGTTCATTATTTGAGAATTAAAAAAAAAAACCTCATAATTTTTACGTCCATCATTTAAATCAAAAGTACAATAAGCCTTATTAAGCAAATTATTTAAATTAAAGCAACACAAATATAAATTAAAACAATTTTCTTGAAAATTACATTCAATTTAATTAAAAAAATAAAAAATTATACAATCTGCGCATCACGCGAGTTCAAGACTAGTTATTATTAAATTCATTAGTCAAGAACTTCTTTAAGAAGTTGATTTAGGTTCTTCTAGAATAGGTTTGGATGACTTGGGTTTTATTTGGTTTGTATGAGTCGACCTGGTTAAAATGGTTTGATTTGAGGAACAATATTTACTTGACTTTTAAAATTAAACTTAATTTGATCGGTTTTTAAAATAAAATTTCGGGTTGTTTTAGTAAAACCTCCTCTTCTATCCCATAGGACCGGATAGGAGATGTTGCATTTCGGGCTAGAAGCACATAGTGGCTTATTTAGTTATAAACAATTAAAGAGGATTCGAATTAGAAAAACACTTAAATGCAAAAATATGTATTATTTACGTAATATTTAATGTATGCGTAATACCCTCAATTTAATAACTCTGAAAATTTTAAATATCGTGTTAATTAATATTATCTGGAAAGCTAGAATAATTACGGTTACCTAGTTTTTAATATGTAGAACTATTAATTGGAAGTTGTACTGTAAATTAAAGATAAGTTATGTCATGAGAATCAAATTGGAAGAAAGTTAAATGAGATTAAGCTTTGACGATGAGAAGCTAGCACTTTGATTTATCATTTAATGGATTGATTATTAAACACCTAAGATATGATTAAGGTTTAATTAATTTATCATTTAATGGATTGATTATTAAACACCTAAGATATGATTAAGGTTTAATTAGGACTAAACTAAAGTAATCAAAAAAATTTAGGTGCAATTGTACGAAAAGAGAAACAAAGAAAGGATTAAGGTGTTAAAAGACAACAAAAGGATATGGAAGGAATTACCATGAAAGTCTTTGATTGCCAACTATTTATAATAAGTCATCAGGCACCTCTTACTCATTTTTGGTCATTCACAGTCGAGTTACATGAAAAGAGAGAGAGAAAACTCTTAAAGACAAGCATGAAAACTTAGGAATTTCAAGTGATTCATAAGGAAATGTTAGTTATTTTCTCTTCCTCTTTCTTTTCCATGGTCTAATTTTTGATTGACATGAATTATGGTATGAGGTGCTTGCTTATTGTTGCTGACTTGGTGAGAATGAAGTGATTAAAAGTACTTTTAAGGTGATTTAAAGTGGTTATGGATGGTTAAACATGAATTTGATGTCAAGTTTGCATAATTGACCAACTTGGATAATTTTAGTCATTTGATTGATAATCTATGGATTAGGTGTTTTGATATATGAAAATTGATTATGTTATGTAAGTGTTAGAGGAGTTGGTTATGCATGAATTAGTGGTGAAGGTAAGTTAAGAATGCCTAAGGATGTAAAGTATGCTTAAGTCTATTACAATTATGCATCATGAAATTTAGTCACCAAGATGGACTTGGTTAAATAGGTAAATAAAGTCCAAAAATTATGAAATTTTACAAAGAACTACTTTAGGATGTTGGGAAGGCTGTGGTAAAAGAGCTAGTACAATGGGTGAAGAGGAATCGAGTTATAATTAAATGAATACAGGCTACTCAGTGGAAAATCTGACTGAAAATTGAGTATTGTTTTTAGGTTATTTGGCTATGCAAATGAGCTCCAAAATTCATGAAATTTTATATAAAATTAGCCTGAGATGTGAGGAAGATTATGTAAAAATTTTAGGATAAATGGATTTAGAAACCAGAGATATAGCAAAGGAAGGCAGACTACTCATATGATGGAAACCTTGTATTCCATTAGTTTGTAAATCATATGATGGAAACCTTGTATTCCATTAGTTTGTAAAGAGTTTAGCATACTTTTAATATGTTATTAGATCCCATTATTTTAGTTGTTATTTTTATGTTTTTAGAATGAGATTAAGTATTAGAAATGAAGCAGTTCATGACTAAAATAAGGACAAATGGTACTTGGTCAAGCATAGAGAAATTAAAGGAAAAGCATGAATACTACATTTCAATACTTGATTTGCATTCCTATGATAGTATGTGTGTGTTTATTGAGTAGTATGGAGTAATATAAATATCAATTTCATACTAAAGTATCTGAGAGAAAGAAATTGGAAGATAATCAATAAGTAAAGGAGTAAGACTAGGAGAGCCTTCCAATTCAGGTTAGTGCAATACTTCTTTCTTATTTTGTTAAAACAAATATGTATTTGATTTCACATTTCAATTTCATAAAATGATTTATGAATAAAAGGGAAATATTGGAATAAAAGTTTTATGGATTTTGAAATAAAGGAAGTATGGCTTGATACTTTATGATTTTCAATGATTCTTAAAGTTAAATTTAAAATCTATTTATTTGAGACAAAGGAGGATGTTGGCCAATTATTATCTGTAGTATGAGGGGTGGCTGTGAATGAATGTTTTTAGTAGTGTTTGTGAAAAATGGATTGAATGAATGTTTTTAGTAGTGTTTGTGAAAAATGGATTGTTGCCCTAAGTGTTTTCAATTATGCTTAATATATGAAATGATTTATAGTCTCACAGCAATTGATAGACATGATTATTGTCGATATCACTTCATTTGTTGAAGTTGATATTGTGATTGATATTGCAAATGAAATTGCAAATGATATTGTTTCTTCCTAGATGAGGTTGAGATTGTTCCTCTTCTGTTGAGATAAAAAATCACAAATTGAGGTTGAGATAACTTTGTCTTGATGAGCTCATAGGTGTGAACCCCTCCCCCAAATATCACGGGCATATGATGCATATGACTAAGGTGACTAAGGGCAGAAATGCACGTGAATGTATGAGTCGCGCCACCCCCTTGTTTATTTATTTTTTAGGGTAAACTAGGAAAAACCCTAGTTGATCCCAATTTTTATAATTAACGCTAATTACTAGATTATTATCCAAGGTTTAAGGCATGGTCTACGAACCCGCAGGTGGATCCTGATATATGTCATGGCTGATGAATCCTAACCTATGAATGTAATACTTTTTGCCAAGGAAGATGATGTAAATGAAAATGTTTATGTGATTTCGACATGCCGCGCTCGGGTTAAATTCCCCAAACGTGCCTCCGTATTCCGCTTTGAATGGAAAGATCAAGTCGTAGTTCGATAGGCCTTTTTTTTAAAAGGGCTTTGAAGGGGTATGCTTAATGCATGAGTGTGTGTATGCTTCGTGCATTTTGTTTAGGCATTTTGGCAAAAATTGATTGATTTGGTTTAGGCATTTGTTGTCAAAAATGTTGATTTTAAGGCTTTTAGCCAAAAAGATGGATTTAGGCAATTTATTGCCAAAAGTGATTGTTTGATGGCTTTTATCCAAAATGTGCTGATTTAGGCAATTTGTTTGCCAAAAATATCGATTGGGCGATTGTCGCCAAAATGAATGATTTAAAGGCTTTAAAGCCAAAAGATTGATTAATTTTAAGGCATTTTGCCAAAGTTTTGATTTAAGCGATTTGTCGCTAAAAGTAGTTAACCTTACTTGTAGGCAATTTGTTTGCCAAAAGTGATCAACTGAATTGCAATATAGGCAATTTATTGCCAAGAAAAATGTGTTTAATGAAGGCCAAATGTAGGCATTTCACTTGCCAAGAAACGTGTTTAATTAAGGCTGTTTAGCCACAATTATTGATTAATTGGACTTAAGCCGAACTGTTCGAAAGGCGATTATACCATAGCTATTAATTAACTAGGCTTTAGCCAATATTGTCGGATTTAGGTTTAAATACCACGATTATTAATTAACCGGGCATTTTGGCCTAAACTTATCTAATTGAGGCAGTTAATTTGCCTAATGATGACGTGAATGCATTTATGCAGTTGTAGAATTAGGAATAGAAGAGAAGGATGCATGAAATGCCAAAATTAAATAGGCAGAGTTTCGTTTATGTACCTGATTTAATCGACAGCCGCTTCTTAGCTTCAGCTTGGAAACTCCTAATTAAGCTCCTCGTTTGGGGAGGAAATTATTTAATTTAATTCAATTTAAGTGCCAAATATCACAACGCACAATAATAGCCTATGCTAATCAGAAAAGCAGTAAAGAATCGAAAGGAGCGTAGGGGGAGAAGGAGCGTCCGTCAACACAGACTGAGTGAGTCAAAACGGAGTGCCGGGGACAATATTTATAGGCAAAATTCAGACTGGAGGGCGGCCACTGCCGCCGTAACCGGCGGCCGGAGCCACCGTGTCCGGCGGCTTGGGCCGACGACCGGAGCCGCCGTGATCGGGTATGTTCCGTCGTTTGAAA